TGATATTTCTTGAGCTTTAATCCTTCATCATAGCTTGGGCTTTTGGATAATTTGAAAATTGATTTTCCAATGGTTTCATTTCTTCATTTAAACAATGAGTTTTTGTTGAGAGATAGGCGTTCGAGATTTATTCTTCATTAACCTGCAATTCAAATATAAAATTATTCATATAAAATAGATAATGAGGGTATAAAATTGCAATAAAATGTGATTATCAAGAATCATGTCGTCAACATCTTCTCAACAATCATCCTCTTCTAAACGGGCAAGGTTCTTTGATAGGAGGCTATATGCTGCAATGTGGAATCGTCCACCTCCATACGAGATTCCAAATTGCTTTTGTGGGATTCCAGTGCAAATGAAGACTTCTTACACCCCGAGGCATCTGTGTCGTCGATTTGGAATTTGTGCTACAAACACTTGTAATTGCTGGACTTGGTTAGATCATGACGAAGTACCAAGTTACGCTCACGACTCAATGAATATATTTATTCTCAAGTTTGAAGAGCTTTCAATTGAAAATGAGAAATTGAGATCAAGAATACATAATGAAGAAAATTGAATTTGGAAGAAGCATATTCAGGAAAAAGGTTTTCTACTTGGAATTTTTGTTGGTTTCATGATGTACATTTTTCTTATAATAATATTCAAGTATGGGTATTATTTATGGTTTGGACCTTGAAATATTTTACTAACTCAACTATGTTCTACGAAAATCAGTGTTCTATGGAATTGTAAAGAAAAAGTAATAAAATGTAGTAATGCATGTATGGATGCTTTCAATCAGTGTTCATATGCATGATTCATTTTGCTTGAAGCATTTGTTTTGCTAGAAGTTATATAGAGTTGAACCTATGTTATAAAATGTATATAGAGCTATACAGAGCTAGAAGTTATACAGAGCTGAAAGCATTTGTTTTGCTAGTAGTTATACAGAGCATTTGTTTTGCTAGAAGTTATAAAATGTATGTATGGAAGCATTTGTTATAAAATATATACAGAGCTGAACCTATGTGTTTGTGGAAAATTTGTAGTAAAAAGAAATGAAGGAAAATTGATTTGTATTCCTTTAATTTCAGTTACAATTGGATTTCCTGATTACAAAAGAGAGGAGAATAATCTGGATTCTCCCCTTTGTTTAAATCTGGGTTCTTCACGGTGGCGATGGAGTGCCTCCTTCGAATGCTCGCGTCGAATTTGCTCTCCGTTGACGATCCGACGTCTTGATTCACTGGAACATGATCTTCTCCTCACGATTTGACGTTGTGGAGAACTTGCGTGGCAAGTTTGAAACTCTATGAAAGAGTTGATTTAACCGAAATCGGTCTATAAGCCAAGGATGAAGTAGATCTTCTTGCTGATCTCCAAAGCTCTAACCGAAGGATGAAGAATCCTCTTTTCGCTGCCAAGAAGCTCCAACAGACCGAACCCGAAAGATCCAGCCCCGAACTAAGTTGATTTCTTAGTTATTTATAGGGGATTAAGGGGTGTAACCACCTCCTTATTTCGCTCCTAAGTGGGGATAATGGGATGTAACCGCCCCTTAAATCACTCCTGAGTGGAGTTGTGATCCCCTCAGATCGTGGGAAACGGTTTTGGAACCGTTCAGCTCGTGTTTGAACGAGTCAAACACAGGCCCGCGTTCTGACGTGAATTCTGCATTCAAACGCAGTGTCTAGAAGCTTGAACGCATCGTCTGGAAGCTCGGACGCAGCAATTAGAAGCTGCGTTTGCAGCGTTGGAATCTATGTCTGAGCTGCGTTTGCAGCGATTTGGAAGCTGCGTCTGGCGGTGATTTGAGCTGCGTTTGGCGGCGATTTGAGCTGCGTTTGGCAGCGATTAGAGCTGCGTCTGGCAGCCGTTTGCAGCGATTTGGAAGCTGCGTTTGAGCTGCGTTCGTGGCTATGAACGCGGTGCGTCTTGATGCTGGTGTGCGGGGAGGACTTCCACAGTTTGATTTGAAGAGACCGTCGATTTGTAGTCTCTTTCTATCGAAGTTTTGCAAAGATCGTCATTTTGTAATTGAGAGTCGTCAGATTGTAACTCCCGATGTTGATTATGAAGGCTGTTTGATTAGAGCTTCCATCAGTTGTCGTGAAGGTCGTCAGATTGTAACCTTCAGCGATCTACATGAAAGTCTTTAAATTGTAGTCTTCTAGAAGTCGTCAGATTGTAACTTCCATCATCGGTGTTTTGATGGGGATCAGCTATCTATTGTGATTTTTTGACAGCCTACACTATGTTTAATGGCTTTATTTGTTGTTGTTATCTGAAGCAAAAATATGTCATAAAAACATCAGTTATTAAAATATGTTTGTCTGCTGTATTTGATAAAAGAAGATCAATACTTAAAAAAATCAAAAAGAAAGGATGCCATCAAGAGTTACCATCTAAATGCTAACTTAAATCGACTACATAACACCACTAATTTGTCAAAATTAGCCTTTATTCATCATAATATGAAAATGAAGAAAATATCATTGCTGTTCAAACTAAAGTTGGTGATACTCACTACTGAGCAGCAATCTAGCATGCATCCTCTATGATTCTAGCACCGATTTCTTAGAAAATGAAGTCATTAACAAGAGATGACATCCATAAAACCTGCAATAGATAGGAGGACCTCGTACGGTTAAGAAACCTGAGGCAACTTTTCAAACTTCCTTAAAGCAGGAAAAGTTTCAATGAAGATGGAAACAAAAAATGAAGTCATCCAGAATTCAATATCATCCAGAATTCACAACCAAAAATATGTCATTATATACCACATTGTATTAACTAAGATAGGGAAAAAAGCATCAGACCTTCGAATTTAACATCCAGAATTCAGAATTCACAACCAAAAATATCATCAATCCTTCAATATCATCCAGAATTCACAACCAAAAATATCATCCTGAAGTTTTAACCAAAAGCATCAGTTATTAACCAAAAGCATCAGTCCTTCGAATTCAATAACATCCAGAATTCAATATCATACAGAAGTTTTAACCAAAAAGCATCAGTTATTAACCAAAAGCATCCAGAATTCAACATCAGGAGCCAAAAGCATGTAAAATTCAATATCAGGAGCCAAACATGTCAGTTATTAACCAAAAGCATCAGTCCTTCGAATTCAATAACATCCAGAATTCAATATCATACAGAAGTTTTAACCAAAAAGCATCAGTTATTAACCAAAAGCATCCAGAATTCAACATCAGGAGCCAAAAGCATGTAAAATTCAATATCAGGAGCCAAACATGTCTTCAAGTAGTAATCAGTTGTCGATAAAAGAGGCTTCACAACCAAGTGCATCAGGGCCCTGAATGCAAAAAACAAATATTAATACAACTTGTTACAAGAGCATAATTGATGAACATTTACCCCAATAAGCAAATCATACCCATAGGTTTGATGCATCACATCATGTTTCTTTGATGAAATCCATACAATTGTGTCAACCCCATCGCATGTAGATCTCCAGGCATTGGAAATTGAGGCTGTAACACATCATATAAACTATGGTGATTAAAAATGGTTTGCATCAATGTAAGCTATGGTGATTAAATCCTATCTGTAACATAAAAAATAAAGATGTTGATATAATACATGAGACTATATCTTACCAACTGCATACATTCATTTGTTAATTGTTGTGCCAGCCAACACATTCCCCATGGATGCACTGAATTTGGTTGTGGCATGTAAGCATTTGAAACCATGCTATCTTCAATGTTGAATATGTGGACGGGCGTTCTTTTTAGCGGTTAAGAACTAACCGGCAGCGCAGGTTAAGCGCAAACTTATCATTGCTTAGGTTTCAGGATAAAATACCCCAGAATCGAACTCTGGTGTCTTTTTGTGCGGAAAAAGACTAACATTAGCATTGAGATCAATTTTCTTCTTTCTTCGCCTACTTGTTGGCTTAATTCTGTTTTGCCTAGGCCGGCCTTTCCGAGTCTGAGAGAGAGAGGATCCAATATGTTTTCATTTTCCTCCTTTTCATGGTCATTTTCTTCTTCCATAAAATCATGATTCATCGATACTTCTTTTACTTTTTGACTTGATTCAGCAAGTTGTAGTTCTCTAAATTTGGTGTCTATCCATTTTTTAACAACCTCACATTCATTGTTGTTTTGAGTAGCAAGATCAGCAACCTCACTAAATGCAAGACATAGCTCGTGATAGCGTAGTTGTTCAGGTGTGATAACCCAAGTATTAAATTTAACTTTCATCTTCGAGTCCCGAATGACATACTCAAGCACCCCTGCTCCCTCCTGATAGTTTACAATATCACAATATATCTTTCGTCCCGAATGACATACTCAAGCACCCCTGCTCCCTCCTGATAGTTTACAATATCACAATATATCTTTCCCATGAATTCAGCTTGAAACTCTTTAAACTTTGCTAAAGTGTAGACTCCCTGTATTGACTCTCCATATCATAAGTTGTTGCAGTAGCTTTTACTTTTGAAAATGACTCTGCATCGGTCCGCATCTCCTTTTCCGCATTGCTTCTTAATGCATTTTCATACTGCTCAACAAACTGTTTTAGACTTGTTTTTGAATTGACATATCCATCAAAAAAAGCATTCATGCTTTCACTTCGTTGAGTAGTTGACATTCCTGCCCAAAAATGATTTTTGACAAAACATGGAACCCATCGGTTTCTCTCCTCGTACAATTCACCTAACCAATCACAATCCTCCAATCCATACAAGTCAACCATTTCATTCCACTGTTGTTCAAACTCTTGTGGACTTTGTGCGTCATATTCCACTCCTTTCATGGTAGAACTGATGGCCTCATATTCAGTGTATCTTCCTAACTTTTCTGACAGCTTCTTCATTATATGCCACAAACACCATCTGTGTCTAGTGTTTGGAAAAACAATCTTAATTGTATTTTTCATGGCTCTTGCTTGGTCAGTTATTATCCCTTGCGGAACACATCCATCCATGCATTCAACCCACATTGTAAATAGCCATATGAAAGTCTCTGTGTCTTCTTTTGAAATTAACCCACATCCAAGTAAAATTGATTGCCCATGATGGTTAACGTCAACAAATGGTGCAAATGACATATCATACTTATTAGTAAGTATGTGGTATCAAAAGTGACGACCTTACCAAACTCTTTGTAAGCTTCTCTGCTCCTACCATCTGCCCAAAATACATTTTTCAAATGATCTTCATCATCCAATTCAATATCAAAATAGAAACCTGAATTTTCTGCAACCATCCTTGAAAAATATTTCATAATCGCTGAAGCATCACCTTCGCCGAGACGTAAACGCCTTGATTCATCAACCAAGTTCCTGCAAGCCTTTTCATCACATAACAGATTCTCATATCCACCAGCCTCATGTACCAGTAAGCTAAATTTTTTGTTGATTCTGATTCCAGCTTGATCATTCAGATTAATTGGATGTCTAACATGTGCACTAATTCTTCGGTTGCATCGAAAGAAACGACTTTTACTAGGGCTAAGGCCATGATTATGCTCCAGAACAACCACAAGTATTTCCCATCTTCTGTCCAGATTTAACCTAGCTGTTATCTTTGCATTACACCTAACTCTGTAGCTTGCTTGTGGTTTTAAGGGATTTTGACAAGTACTATTATGTTTGCCACCTCGACCACATACTAAAGTCATACTTCTAACAATGCTCATTTCATTCTTCCTTCTTGTATGTTTCTTAATTGGAAATCCACTGCTCTTTGCATAGTCTTTGTAAAACTCAAACAATTCATCTGGATCATTAAACTCCATCCCAATTTTAGGCTCATTTTGCTCAATCCGCTGATCAGTGTGTTGAGGCAACTCAGATCTCTCATCAACCGAGCAATTATTCAAGGCATCATCAACTACATCATCAAACTCCTCAATATATGTCACGCCTGTTCAAATTGATCATCAATAAACTTTACAGAAAAATAGTTGACAGAAACTGAACAAAGAAACTGAGCAAAGAATTGACTGAAACTGACAATTAACATCATGAAAAACACAGATTTTATTCCTTGACATACCAAAACATATTTAGGGGGGGCTACAAATTATTCTGTATAAGGTTATGATGCTAATGAACACTTACAGTTGTTTCATTTTCTTTTAGTTACTTCATCTTTAGAGTAAACAAAAATTTGTGACCAACTAAATAATAACTACATCATGATTTCCTGGTATGAAGCTCATAAATAAAAACAAAACCCCCACCTTGAAATTAAACACATCACTCTCTCAAGACCCACAAATTTTTAATTAACCAGTAAAATCCACAAGACCCACGAAATCAAATTAAACACATCACTCTCTCAAGCTAAAAAAGTTTGTAAGTAGGTTTCAATTAAACAAGATGCAAACAGAAATCATATCAAATCAGATGGAAAGAAGTGAAATTTGCACGAAATCGAGGGTTTTTGATGGATTAAAGAGGAAAGGTACCTGTTTTGAAGTGGGGGGGATGGAGATCTGAGGGGATGGCGACGGTGTGACGGCGGAGTCAGGCGGCGACGGCGGTGTCATGGCGGAGTCAGGGGACGGCGAAGGAGTCACGGCGGAGTTGGGGCTAGGGTTGGGAGGGGGAGTGGGTTTCTTTTGGGGAGATGGTTGAAGTGAGGAGAGAGAAACGAGTTTGGGGAAGGAATGGAAGGTCATAGGAATGCTTTTGGGGGTGGTGACGTGGCTGGCTCCACGTAGGCGCGAGTTCAACTAGCGAGTTAAAGAGCGAGCCAAATAGGTGGAGTTGGGGTTAGGGTTGGGAGGGGGAGTGGTTTCTTTTGGGGATTTTTCTCTGAAGTGAGGAGAGAGAACGAGTTTGGGGAAGGAAGTTGAGGTCACGGGAATGAAATTGGGGTTGCTAACGTGGAGCCAGCCACATAGGCGCAAGTTGAGGCCGCGAGTTAATCAGCGAGCCAAATAGCGTTTCTGTTTATTTTTACCCATTTCCTCCTAAAAATCTAAGAAAACGATTTCCTTAAATGTGAGTCACATCATCCAATAATATAATGATAACTCATCTCATCTCATCTATTTTTCTTAATTTTAAAAATAAGCCAAAAAAAAACAACCTATTACAAGAAATATATTTCTTATAATTCATTTCCTTATTTTTTTCGCCAACCAAACAACATCAAAACAAGTTTTTTAAAAAAATTACTCACATCATCCTATAATAAGGTGACAACTAACATCATCTCATCTTCATTTCTTTGATTCCCTTCTTTTTTTTAGCCAACCAAACATTCCCAAAACAAGTTTTCTTATAAATAATTTTCCATTTCTTTGATTTCCCTCGACATGATTAGGAGTATGTTGAGTTATTCTTCTTTACCCTTATCATTGTGGATGTATGCTTTAAAAACCGTAATGTATTTATTAAACAGGGTTCCTAGTAAGGCAGTTCCAAAGACTCCTTTCGAACTGTGGACATGAAGGAAACCCAGCTTGAGACACCTTCATGTTTGGGGTTGTCCTGCGGAATTACGAATTTATAATTCACATAAAAAGAAACAGGACTCTAGAACAACCAGTGGTTTCTTCATTGGTTATCTAGAAAAATCTAAAGGATATAGATTTTATTGTCCTAGCCATAGCACGAAAGTTGTTGAAACTGGAAATGCCAGGTTCATTGAAAATGGTGACTTTAGTGGGAGTATGGAACCACGTAAGGTGGAAATCCAAGAAGTTAGAATGAACATTCCTTTACCTTTAACTTTTTCTCAAGTTGTTGTTCCTACAGTTGTTGAATAGTTTAACGACTTTCAATAACAACAAATAAATGATCAAACACTCTGTGAAGACGTTGTTACCAATGAACCTGCAATAGATATACCCCATGAAGAAGTAGCATTAAGAAGGTCTCAAAGATAGAAAAAATCTGCTATTTCTGATGATTATGTGGTTTATCTACAAGAGTCAAAACATGACTTTGGAATTGATGAAGATCCGGTTTCATTTTCACAGGCCATGAAAAGTCACAATTCTGATAAATGGTTTGATGCCATGAAAGATGAGTTAAAATCAATGGAGCATAATGAAGTTTGGGATCTTGTAGAATTGCCTAAAGGTTGTAAAAGAGTTGGGTGTAAATGGGTCTTTAAGACCAAACACGACTCAAATGGCAATATTGAACGATACAATGCTAGACTTGTTGCCAAAGGTTTTACTCAGAATGATGGTATTGACTATAAAGAAACATTTGCTCCTGTTTCGAAAAAGGATTCATTTAGAATTATTATGGCTATTGTGGCTCATTATGATTTAGAGCTACATCAAATGGATGTGAAAACTGCTTTTCTAAATGAAAATTTAGATGAAGAAGTTTACATGGACCAACCCGAGGGTTTTTCAGTTGAAGGAAAGGAACACATTGTTGGCCTTCTTGTTTTGATGATGTTTAACAAACAATTTACCACTAATGTTGTTTGTCTAGTATTTGTGTTTTCTTATTTATTATAGACAAACAACGTTGTTGGAGGATGGATGGAATAGAGCTTCAACGATCATATCCAATGGAGGTTGGCGGAATAGTGGAGTGAAGCCTTGCAATTCAAAGTTAAAGATCAAGTTCAAGCTTCATCCGCATGTATACCAAGTTGAGCTACAATGAAGATCAAGATCAAGCTTGGGTAATTTAGTTTAGGATTTACATTATGTGTGTTAAGTACTCTAAGCTCAATTATCTACACACACGCATTTATTGGTTTATATATATATATATATATATATTTTATGAAAATATTGTATTTCTAGGTTATAGACTTCATAACAACATGTTATATCTTTTATCAAGTCTATACAATCATTTCATAAGGTTTCAAAATGTTGTTTAAGTCAAAATATCAAAATATCAATTTTCAGGTTTTCATGTTTTGGACTATTTTGTAAAATGATGATATTTTTCATTTGGGAGGTCCTTTCTGATAACCAGTCGTTGTAGCATGTTTATTATCATGTCTACAATCATTCCCCAAAGTTTTACATTTTTTGGAATTTATTTGATATTTTTAAACAGCATTTTAAAATCAGCAAAACAGTTTTTATATATGTCAGTTTTCGGTCGACCGAACCGGTCGACCGAACCTGAGCTCTCGTGTTCACTGGGCGACAGAAAGTCTGTCGGTCGACCGGTCCGGTCGACCGATGAAATTTATCGGTCGACCGATGAAATTTCCGGTCGACCGACAGTGTCTTTTTCAGCTTCCAACGGCTCTTTTTATTACCGTTGCCTTGGACTGTTTTGTCTTTTTGTTTGGGTTTTTTGCTAAGTTTTGAGAGGGTATAAATACCCCATTGCCTTCAGCTCTCCAACCAACTTAGAGAGTTTTAAAACAAGTTTAAGAAAGTTTTAATCAAATGTTTAAGTTTGTTTTTAGTGTTTGTTTAAAAAGCTTTTAAGCATTTACAAGAGTTTGGTTTGTGGAGCAAATTTCACAAGAGCAAGTGGAGATCATCCTTGGTGTTTGAGCATTCATTCTTCTCCCTCTCTCTTGTCATCTATAGAGAAGTTTCCTTAAACTCAATTCTAGCATTTTATAAGTTTGTTCTTAATTTCATAAGCTAGATTTCATATTGAGTTTATATTGTTTTATCTCTTTGTTCACACACAACCTATTGAGCTTATTGTATTTACATTCATAGTATAATTTAGGGTTGTGGGTTTGTGACATTGAGAGTGAGCTTAATTGAGTTCTCACCTTGTTAGAGAGAACAATCATTTGATTTATATTGTAGCTTATTGTGAGATACACTTTGTAATACACTTGTACACCGAGAGGAGTGTGTGGTGAGAGTCGGGGATCGTCCCAAGAGGAGTGGCGTCGGTTGACGTGCCTAGGGAGAGGTTGTAACCGAGCACTTGAGGAGGAGGACACGGGCTAGGACCAACACTTAGTGTGTGAGGTGTGATTGCATAGTGATTGTATTGTGAGATGTAAACGTTGTTCGGGTGAACGTAGAAAACCCGGTTGTGATAGTGGAGATCTCCTCGAGGTGAGGAGCGGAGACGTAGGTCGTGGGGACCGAACTCCGTAATCATATTGTTTGTTTGTGATTGCATTGGCGCACTTACTTTTATGTTCATATCTTATATCGCCTTTGTATATTGCTTGTTGATTATATTGCCCACTATCTTGTTTATGTTTATATCACCCTTAGTTTCATATCCTTGCATATAACTCATAATATACCTCATTGCTAGGATATATCCCTTGTTCATATTACTTATCCTAGCTTACATATCTTGTTGTATTTCATACTTGCTAGGATAACGTATTAATTAATTTTAATTGGCATTTAATCGGATTAGATTAGCATAAGACCCTAATCACCCCCCCTCTAGGGTCTAACAATTGGTATCAGAGCTTGGTGCTCTTTGATTTAAGGTCTAATCGCCTTGAGTTAAAGATCCAAGTTATCTCTTTGTGCTAATCTTGTTTTGATTACATTTGTATCTTGCTTGCATGGTGGCTCATTATGATTTAGAGCTACATCAAATGGATGTGAAAACCGTTTTTCTAAATGGAAATTTAGATGAAGAAGTTTACATGGACCAACCCGAGGGTTTTTCAGTTGAAGGAAAGGAACACATGGTGTGTAAGCTTAAGAGGTCAATATACGGACTCAAACAAGCTTCCCGACAATGGTATCTTAAGTTTAATGATACTATCATATCTTTTGGATTTAAAGAAAACATCGTTGATCGATGTATATATCTAAAGATTAGTGGGAGCAAGTTTATAATTCTTATTCCGTACGTTGATGATATCTTGCTTGCTGCTAATGATCTTGGTTTATTACACGAGAAATTTCTCTCTAAGAACTTCGAAATGAAAGATATGGGTGAGGCATCCTATGTGATAGGAATTGAAACGAAATGAAAGATATGGGTGAGGCATCCTATGTGATAGGAATTGAAATATTCCGTGACAGATCACAAGGATTGTTAGGGTTGTCTCAAAAATCATATATTAATAAAGTTCTAGAGAGGTTCAAGATGGATAAATGCTCTGCATCTGTAGTTCCAATTTAGAAAGGGGATAAATTCAGTCTTATGCAATGTCCAAAGAATGAATTGGAACACAAACAAATGGAACAAATTCCTTATGCATCCATCGTTAGGAGCTTGATGTATGCTCAGGTTTGTACAAGACCTGACATTAGTTTTGCTATTGGAATGCTTGGTAGATATCAAAGTAATCCAGGATTGGATCATTGGAAAGCTGCAAAGAAGGTATTGAGATACTTGCAAGGAACAAAGGATCATATGCTCACGTATAGGAGATCTGATCACCTTGAGGTGATTGGATATACATATTCAGATTTTGTTGGATGTTTGGATACTAGAAAATCCACATTTGGCTATCTGTTTCTTCTATCTAGAGGAGCGATCTCGTGGAAAAGTACGAAGTAGTCTGTCATTGCTGCATCGACTATGGAGGCTGAGTTCGTGGCATGCTTTGAGGCTACTGTTCATGGATTATGGCTGTGGAATTTTATTTCAGGACTTGGAGTTGTTGGCAGTATTGCCAAGCCGCTGAAAATTTATTGCGATAATGCTGCAGCAGTCTTCTTTTCTAAAAACGACAAGTATTCGAAGGGTGCTAAACATATGGAATTAAAATACTTTGCCGTTAACAAAGAAGTTCAGAAACAAAGAATGTCAATTGAGCATATTAGCGCAAATCTTATGGTTGCGGATCCGTTAACAAAAGGATTGCCTCCAAAGACATTTAGTGAACATGTTGAAAGAATGGGTATTATTGAAAACCATTACTAACTTTTATGTAAAGTTCATGCTATTTATATATTTGACACTTTGAGCTCATCTAAATATTGTTTCTGATATTTTAATGCATCATGTTTATTATTGTTAGTATATACATAAATGATTATGTGAACATTAACAGGATATGTCTCTGACAAGGATATTATTGTTGGACCAT